AAAAATCAGTTAGATTCTGGACGCCGTCACACTATCTATTGTGCTCTGAGTAATCTGAGTATTAAGGGAGACATTATAGAGACATTTCTTCAAGTTTATACTAAAACTATATGTGGTTGTGGTAAACATATTAAAGTGGTTCCGTAGAACATTGTCTTTTATTCTAAAAAAGGACAAACGGGGTCGGCCTACTAACAGTACGTTGGCCGTGTTTGGAGCATACTAAACAAAATAAGAGCTCACTTCTCAAGTGAACTTTTATTTGTCGAGACGATTTTCTTGCGCCGACCTGATATCTAGTTGTTATTTTTGATCGAAGGTTTCATAAATAAAAAATTAACAAATATTATTCACATTACCATACTTTTTCGTCCGTTCAAATTCTTTTTCCATAATGGATTGACAGAAAAATGGCCAAGTCAAATTAGACAAACCCAAAAATCTTCAAACTTCACAAAAACCAAACCGATAAAATAGGAACAAACATTTTTCAGGTAATTTTGATTTTCATACTTATTATTTTTTTTATAAGAAATGTAGGTGTGTAGATCATATTTCATGCTTCGGCACTGCTGGGCCGGCTCGACCGGAGTGATACCACGGCCGGACAGAAAACCGACGTGAAGCAACGCTTGCGTTCTGTGTCGTCGTGTGAGTAAGGTTACCAGACCCCCAATTACAACGCCCCTCTTCTCAGTCTTCCCAATCCCCAAATCAATGATCCTCAAATTCCTAATCTCCAAAATTCGGTAAAGCACTTGTAACGCCTCTGGTGTTCTCGGTGTCCATGGGCGACGACGATTGCTTACCATCAGGTGATCCGTCTGCTCGTTTACTGACTTATTATTATATAAAAAAACAAAATCACCAATTTATTAGGGGTTCTCCTAAATTCCTTATTCTTTAAGCCCACTCACTCACGCCGCGTCATGTACATACAGCTACACATCGAGCTTTACATAACCAGTATAAACTGAACGTTAAATGTGCGGAAAGATGATGCGACGCGACACCAAGATAAACTGGTTTTGTATAGATTGATGTGTGGCCGTGTGTACCAGTGATGGCGCGTCGCCGACAGTTAAAGAAAAATGTATCTTTATCAGATTTCTGTCGACAAGCAACTTATATTCTGTTATGTATAATTTTCTGCCTCGTTGGCCGAGTGGTCGCAAGTGTGACTGCCGGGCAAGGGGTCTCGGGTTCGATTGCCGGGTCGGGCAAAGTATTACTGGGTTTCTAAAAAAATCTCAGTAGTAGCACGTAGTCTGGAATTGTGCCCGGAATATGGCAATAGGCACCCCTTATTACATGGGTCTTAAAACATAAATAGTGAAAAGTGGATGTTACATCGTACAGTGGCAGTAAGTGCCGTAATGTGCACCTCTGCCTACCCCTTCGGGAATAAAAGGCGTGGTGTTATGTATGTTACAATTTCTTGGTTATTTTTCAGCCCTCAAACATGATAAAGGTCTCTAAAGCAGCGAAGCATCATAGGACAATTATCGCGGACACCTCCATTCACAAACTCTCTTGCAAATAGATAAAAAAAACTAACACGGTAACTGTAAGTATAAAATACCTACAGCTAATAACAACTAACTAAATACTAAAAGGCTTTGAGCATGAAACTTTGTGTAATTTGCTTGGTTAGCGTGAGGGCTCTCTCACTCGGGAGGGATTACTTGATGGTAAGCGGTCACCCACAACACCCACAACACCAGACGAGTCACAGGTGCGTTGCCGGCCTTTTAAAAAGGAGTACGCTCTTTACTTGAAGGTTTGAAGGTCGTACCGGTTCGGAAATACCGCCGACGATAGATCATTCCACAGTTTTGCTGTGCGAGGCAGAAAACTATCAGAAAAGCGCACAGTTGTGGCCTGCCGACCATCTTTATGATGGGAATGGATTTGCTGTCATGAGTCGTTGGTGATAGGCTCGCCATGCTTCGGCACGAATGGGCCGGCTCGACCGGAGTGATACCCTGGCCTCACAGAAAACCGACGTGAAACAACGCTTGCGTTGTGTTTCGTCCTTTGAATGAGGTTACAGGAGACCCAATTACCCCCCCCCCCCTCCCCAGTCTCCCCAATCCCCGAATTCTCCACAATTTCCAATTCCCAAAAAGGCCGGTAACGTACTTGGAACACCCCTGGAGGTTCAGGTGTACATGGACGACGCTGATTACCATCAGGTGATCCGTCAGCTCGTTTACCGGCTAATACCATAAAACAATAAATGTCCAGCAAAATAAGACATTACTATACATATTAAGAAAGTTGTTTTTCCTTCCAAGTTTTCAAATCTACAACAGAAATAAGCAAAAATGAGTTACAATCAGATCAGAAAATTTGACGAATCGTTGGAACGTATGCAAGAAACATCAGCTTCTTGCGACAAATGCTTCTGTCACCTCATCGCAACGCCAGAAGACGAGAGAAGGAACCTTGGAACTTCTTTCAAGCAGGCTTTCACGTCTTACAACCCTGGGAAGAAGAGGAGGAATGTTGGAGGACGACGAGGGGTTGATATTCCTTTGGTTTTCGCCAAGGGAGAACAGGGTAAGTTTGATGAATCTGATGATAGAGGGTTCGTAGTTACACAAAATACGATGCGAATTGCTGCGATGCGATTTCGTGCGATAAGGCGTGACCATTCCTTCGACGACCGTCAACCGTACTTTTTTTTAAGGGGGGAAAATCATCGAATAACTGCTCCCGCCTGGGTGAGGCGGGAGGGAGTGTCAGACTCTGACTGACTAAAAACCACCCTATTCCTTCTCCTGCACTTCGAACCGGAGCCCCGGTAACCCGTTAGGTTCTCCGCGATGTCAACCGTACTAAACGTATTTTAAATTGAAAACTAGGTCTCGATATGGATCGTGAAAGAAGTGTGCTCATCTGTTATTGCTTAGAAGATACAGGAGAAAGAAACAACGATGATTTTGGAAAGACAAGATTTTGATGCGTGATGCGAATCAATTCGCAAGTTCTTGCGATGCGTAGAGGGAGGTCGTACATTTTTGCGATGCGACGTCGCATCGCAGTTTTGTGTACGAGCCCATAAGTAGTTGGATTTACTCGAGCGATGTTGAAGATATTATGCTGATAGAAAGAAAAAATGGTTTACTGACAATTCCTTCCACCTGTAGGAGAAGGGAAAATCCACAGATTTTTGAAATTGTTACCTATAACTTTTGTAATAGTAGTCGAGTGTGTCCGATATTAATATAGTACATGCTCCATGTGTCTTTGATAATGAAAAACTCTTAATCTGCCAGTTTGCACGATGTGGTTGAATGTTCTGGAGGGGTACCAACGAGGACCCTTCAAAGTCCCTCCACTCTTGCAAATTAACCTCGAATGGTTTTTGAAACGCACTTCCTATAATAGCATACTATCCACCTATCTTCCCTTAATTTGACGAAACTGACTTTCTCAGTCAGATTTTTTCTATATTTTTTAATTTCCCATTGTAGTTAAATCGGGCATATTTAATATAACACTAGGTTTTTCCCATATGTTAATCTGACGCGCTCGAGTAACTACCGAAATCCCTTCGCGGTCGGCGCGCTAGCCGCTAGGTGAAATCTTTTAAAACAATACTATCTACGATGCGACGTTGTTTCGCTGGCGCCTAGAGGGCGGCTCGCTGTCAACTCGTCAACGCCGCGCCGTCGTCGCGCGGGCGGTGCGTCGTAAGCACGCGGGCGCCTCGACTACACCTCGAGTGCACCGCGGCCTGACCACCCGTCGTCGGCTTTTTGTATACGAAATGTATCATATGATATACGGTTTTAAACTCATATTTAAATGACAACTTAATGACTGGGTTGGAGCCGTGCTTTTTAAACGTGGGATGACCGTTACCCGTCAAACAGTTATGCGAATAAGCCGAATACATAATAATAATCCTTCTATTTTTATGCCATCATATTTCCAGGTGTCTACTCCACCAAAGAAGTGGTAAAACGCAAGTCCTCATACGGTGGATGCGGTTGTTGCGATAGAGAGAAGTTGATACAGAAACATTCCTACGCGAATATACATCTTACTACGCCTGAACTCGCTCCTCTTTGCCCGTGCCCCACTGATGGTTTTGCCGGTTCGTATATTTAAGAATTATCTCATACTCTAGGATTGTGTCTAGTTTCGTGGCTGAGGGATAGGTATCTTACTTTTATTTTTATTTATTTTAAAAAATCGTTGCTCTAAACTAGGATTTTCTCCTGTGTCGTGGGTGCGTTTACAAACATACAAGTTTTTCAATGACTTGAAAGTTGAAATGAGTTGAAGTTTGAATGACAAAAGACTGGGCTTCACCCAGTTGTACAGTCCCTTCTTTGTGCCTTTAGGCTTAATTCATTCTGTATCCTGCAGTAATTCACCGAGGGAAGTGGAAACTATAGTTTTTTCTTCTTCTCGTATAATATCTTCTGATTCACTTCGTTGCGGTAACCAAGACAGTTACTCATGTCCCTGGGACACGCCAGACGTCAGTGTTCCGGTTCCGGGTATCTACTGTAGATCCTGGCTTACAGGAGTTGCAGCGGTGTTGGAAGGTTGTGGTGGGCTTGTCCCTAAAAAAAAAAACATACAAATTCACATAGACATGACACCCAGACCAAGAACAACAATGTGTGAACCACACAATGGTCGTGTGTTGCCACCAAGTACAAATATATATATTGTCTGGACTTTAAAAGACGCCTGCCTCGATGGCTGAGTGGTAGCAAGTGCGACTGCCGGGCAAGGGGTCTCGGGGTTCGATTCCCGGATCGGTTAAAGTATTACTGGGTTTTTAATTCTCAGTAGCACGAATGGTGCCCGGTATATCGCAATAGGCTCACCCACTATTACATGGGACTCGTAAACATAAATAGTGAAAAGTGGGTGTTACATTGTACAGTGACATTAAGTGCCGTAATGTGCACCTACCCCTTCGGAGCTAAAAGGCGAGATAATGTTATGTAATTTTTTTAAAATAGAATTTAATAAAGTAATTTTAGAGACTTTTAAACTGTCAAACACCAAGCGGTCAAACACCAAGCGGACCGCAACCTATTGTTCTATAATTGTGTCTACAAAACCGGTACTCGACGAGTTAAATAGATACATTTATGGAAATCTTTAATTTATAATTGGATGTCGTTTCTCTACAGAAAAACCGAAGCCACTGAACAACATAAAGGTGACCATTGAAAAAGTTACCCTCGACCCGGACAGCGAGAACTCAGAGACAAGCCTCCTAAACCATAGACTACAGAGAAATGTCAGAGAGCCAAAAATGTCAGAAAAGAAATCGGTCACAAGTCTTATAGACGCTCAGTATGAAAGAGATGAAGATAATCTTTTTGATAGATGAGTAGATTTTAGCTTAGAGAATGCCCTAGGCAAGCACAACCACCTCATTGGCGCATCTAATTTCATTTGTCGCCGCCGTCACCAGCTGTAACCTCTGTAACCAGCAGCTGTAGCCAAATGCCATATAACGCTTGTCTACATGTAGAATAGAAAACCAAATTATAAGGAATTGACGTAAATTTTGACACTTGTCAGTGTCATCCCCATACATTTTTATTTCTACTCTCTTTGTAGACAAGCGCTAAAGTGGCGTTTGGCTAAAGGCCCTGGCGCCCAACACTTGTCTAGTTTGCCATAGCGATAATATGGCTCTGTAGATGAACATCTTTCTATCTCTTTCTCGCCAGACAAGCCTAGACAAATTATTTTAGCAATAAATAGCAATCAGTAAAGGACAAGAATAAAGTAATTTATGAAATAATTCTTGGTTTTATTTTAACATAAGTTCGTAAGTACATAACCTAACATCACGCCTTTATCCCCGAAGGGGTAGGCAGAGATGCACATTCTGGCAGTTTATGCTACTGCACAATGTACCTAACGCCCACTTTTCATAATTTATGTTATGAGTCCCGTGTAATAGGGGTTGAGCCCCTGAATACCCAACAATCCTCAAATTCTAATTCCCAAAAGGCCATACTAACACACTAGTAACGCCTCTGGTGTTCCAGGTGTCCATGGGCGGCGCCGATTGCTTACCATCAGGTGATCCGTCTGCTCGTTTTCCGGCTTATGCCATAAAAAAAATTCGGGTTTGACCTTAGTTATTATGGAGTTTCTCTAAGACAGCATTCCAGATATTTTTTCGTTTGGAGTTGGTCAAAATTTCGTAAAATTATCATCATAGATGTTCCATGTTCCGGAAGCGTAGCAAATCCATTGAATGCTACGAAGGCGTAGCGAATTGATTCAGTGCTACGAATGCGTAGCGGGTCGATTGTGTGCTACGAAAGCGTAGGCGTTAGACAAATTAGCTACGAAATCGTAGCTGTGTAGACTTTTGCTACGAAAATTGTATTTGTGTATTTATTGCGATTTCAGCGATAGATAGGCGAAAGAAGTATGTCAGAATCGTAGCAAATTTCGTTCTATTGTCTCTGCCTACTCCAATGGGAGACGTAACATGTATGTTGTCCTAGCTGTTGGTCGCGACTTCGTCCGTGTGGAAAATTATTCCTGTTTTATATTATAGGTTAATTATGGGATAAAAGTATCCTATCATGTGAAACAAGTGAATTTATTTCTGCAAATAGGCTACAAGGCAGCACTTTTACACGTCAATTTTACCAAGCGGACGATGAGGCTGACATTTCCTAGCTGACTACTCTGAGAAGAAATGCCGAATCAAACTCAGAGGTCTGTCTCTTTTAAAGTCCAGACAATATGTATAACAGATTATGTTCCACGGTTCTCACCGTGGAAGTTCTTTCTGTAGTAGCCTTTTGAGGAAAGAACCACAACAGTTTGAGCGGACCCGTTCTGAAGGCAGTACGCATGTGTCGGTTTACAATCAGCTCAATTAACAGGTGAGGCTGACTGATTCGACGAACAATACCAACCTAAAGAACATTTGCGTGGGTCGCACAAATACTCAAACTGTCAGAATATGGGTAATTAGAAAAGAAATGGCGAGGCAAAGTCTCGCACGGTCCTAGCACTAACAATTGTAAAAATAAAAAGTAAATGTCAAGTTAGAACAACTTATAAAAAAGTCATCTAAGTCAGCCCAGCCTGTATACCAAATTTCATTAAAATACTCACATTTATAATTTTAGTGTGATATATGTATGTTACAATACATACTGATGATGACTCGTAACGAGAAGGTAACCTAATACTTCAAGATCCACAGTCAACTTTATAACCACTAAACAAACAATCTGGGTCTGTAGACTACGAACCAAACTCATTTTCTTCAACAAAATGAATTCTTTACTTTAAACATTTCCCTCCACTAGTAAAAACTATTAAAATTAGAAAAATAATGAGAAAATGCTCCGTGGTTTGTGCTGAAGACGTTTTTAATCAAGTTCTGATACTTCTTTTATATTATTACTGATTGTTAACCGTGGTTTCGCATGGCAACGCAATTGTGACTCTTCTGGTGTTTCGGGTGTACATATTGTTAGGTTATAGATGCAGAGTATAATATTTTCATATATAAGCAACGCTTGCTAAATGATGTTCGTATATAAATACTTCAGTTCCTTTAGGTTTTGTAATACAGAGTAATGGCAACACTTGCTAAATGATGTTCGTAAATAAAATGCTTGCTAGATATTATTAAAATGTTATTTTGTAGATGTTTTAATAAGTTAGTTTTTTTTTAATTTTATTTAACTACTTTTACTATTATTAGAAAAATATGAAAGTTTTAGTTAATTAGTAAATATAATTGATGAATGTTTGCGTAAAACATGGCAATGTTAGATGTCACACAATTTTGGCGGGAATTGAAATAGTTCGGTCGATGGTTTCGGCTTAAATTTATTGTAAAATTATATTAAATAAGTAATTGAAAGTCGTTACGAGTCTTATTTCCTGACCCTAATAATATATACAGTACTTTTTGAGTGTAGCCCGGACCTACATACAGACAAACAGACAAACATTCTAAAAACTCTAATTTTGGCTTCGGTATCGGTTGTAGATCACGCTCAAAGTATTCTTTTGAAAAAATATTCAATGTACCTACAGTTTTTACTTTCCTACGATTATATTATATGTACAGATAGATAGAAGATAGTAAGATTTTTTTAAGGGAGAAATCATCGAATGTCTTCTCCCACCCGGGTGAGGCGAGAGGGAGTGTCAGACTCTTACTGACTAAAAACCACCCCGTTCCTTCTCCTGCACTTCAAGCCGGAGCCCGTTAGGTTCTCCGCGGCTAAGTAGAGTCTAGCTATAGTAAGATTGGATTCGACAAAAACGTTTTAAATCTCATGAACATTACGCGAACTGGGACAAGAAAATCACAACAAAAGATTTGAATACATCTCGGACGGTGTTTGAAGTGTATTCGTATTTCATATTGTATTCTGTTTGTAACAACAACATGGATTGGAAATTTTACATAAACACTCATCTTGCTTGCATTGTATGACGGTGTTTGGGATACAGGTGCAATGGAAATTGTGTTTGTATTCGAATGGAATTAGGATTTTTTTTAATGCATGATTATGGTAGCTTTCCTCATGAGAATTGTGGACTCTCCCAATTGATTAGTGTGTATTAATAAAGTAGAAGATGTATATCATCTTCTGGTGTAGTGTGTCAGAAATGAATCTGAAAGGAGCAAGTTAATTTCTGAACCTAACATAAATACGTTAGATTTAGGTACATTTAATGTAATGTCGTGGTGGCCCGGAGGTTTAAGACGCCCACTTCTCATGCATGAGGGTGCGTGTTCGAAACCTACCAACGGCAAGTACCAATGTGACTTTTTCCGAGTTATATGTACTTTCTAAGATTATTTAGACACCACTGACAAACGGTGAAGGAAAAACATCGTGAGGAAACCTGGGCTTATAATTTCTAATTATAAGTTTGAAATCGCCAACCCGCATTGAGCAAGCGTGGTGATTAACGCTCTAACCTTCTCTGTGTGAGAAGAGGCTTTGCTCAGCAGTTGGCATTTATAGGCTGTTGATGAATGTAATCTTGGGTCAACCAATGTCACCTGAAGCTATATTGGTTTATTCATTAGTTACCTTGTAATTATGTAATTTGTTAGATAAGGTTTTGATGGAACTGGTGTAACACCTTGTCAAAAGTTCCTTAAATAAATAAATTAAAGAAATGGTAATGGTAATTTTTTTCAAGTTTGTAAGTGTGGGAGAGCCATGCTTCGGCACGAATGGGCCGGCTCGACCGGAGTGATACCACGGCCTCACACTAACCGACGTGAAGCAACGCTTGCGTTGTGTGTCGTCGTGTGAGTGAGGCTACCGGAGGCCCAATTACCAAATCCCTAGTCTCCCCAGTCTCCCGAATCCCCGTATCCTTCACAATCCCGGGCCTGCGGACGGCGAGCATGGGTGGCTTCCCGTCCGACCAGAAACAGACTCGAGCGTACGGCGCGTCGCGTTCCGCGCGCGCCTCATAGAGCCATCAGACCACCACAGATGGGGCCCAATACAGCCGATGCCGATTCGGAGTCGCGGAGAACCTAACGGGTAACCGGGGCTCCGGCTCGATGTGCAGGAGAAGGAACGGGGTGGTTTTTAGTCAGTAAGAGTCTGACACTCCCTCCCGCCTCACACAGGCGGGAGCAGTCATTCGATGATTTTCCCCCCTTAAAAAAATCCTTCACAATCACCAAATTCCCAATTCCCAAGAGGTCGATAACGCACTTGTAACGCTTTGGTGTTTCGGGTATCCATGGGCGCCGCCGATTGCTTACCATCAGGTGATCCGTCTGCTCGTTTACCGGCTTATAGGTACCTATAAAAAAACTGTATGAAGTTCAATTACAGGCCTTGTCAAGTGACAGATTTAAGTACTTCGTATTAATGAATGTTCTGCGTATAAATCTATAGTAGCCATGTGCCACAGTCGTTGTTTCAAGAAGCTATGTCCGTCTTGTTTGTTGTTCTTATCCTTGTACGGCTTTACGGCGCGTCGCGTTCCGCGCGCGCCTCAGAGAGCCATCATCCCACCACAGATGGGGCCCAATAGGGCCGATGCCGATTCGGAGTCGCGGAGAACCTAACGGGTAACCGGGGCTCCGGCTCGACGTGCAGGAGAAGGAACGAGGTGGTTTTTAGTCAGTAAGAGTCTGACACTCCCTCCCGCCTCACCCAGGCGGGAGCAGTCATTCGACGATTTTCCCCCCTTAAAAAAAAATCCTTGTACGGCTTTCATTCCAGGAATCGAAAAACACCAACCTCACTCATCAGTCTATCAAATTCTATTTTACATATTTAGACTGCACTGTTGGCGCGGTGGCTGGGCCACTGGCTGCCGCGCAATGTGTCGCGGGTTCGATTCCCGCACGGAACATCTCTTTGTGTCATCCACAAATTGTTGTTCCGTGTCTGTGTGTGATGTGTATGTGAACTTGTATGTTTGTAAACACACGACACAGGAGGAAATCCTAGTGTGGGGCAATGTTTAATAAAACATATTATTGCTCTGAACATAACATAACATCATGACTATCCC